CAGTCCGGGGTTGATGGGCGCTGGGAAGCCCTGACACAAGATGCTGGGCACCATGGAGCCCTGATGCTGGGTGACGGGCACCATGGAGCCCTGATTTGAGTTGATGGACCCTGTGTAGCCCCAACGCCGGGTGATGGGCACTGTAGGGAGAAGGTCCAGCCCCAGATGCTGCCAAGGAGCCGGGACCCCACCGGTACCTGGAGGCTGCCGCGTGGACAATACTCGGTCAGGATGCAGATGTTCGGGGGGTCGGTGCAGGCGCCGATGAAACGGGTCAGATGCTCGTTTTGGACATCCCGCATCTAAAGAGGAGAGCAGGGTGTGGGACTGAGCTCCTGACACTTCCCACTCAGAGGACAACAGGTTGGACATCCCCCATCCCACCACTCAACGCTGAATGGACATCCCCATCCCACCACTCCACGCTGAGCTCAGGTCCACCTACATGCTTCAGCTCAAACAAGACCTTGCGTGTCAGCTCGATGCGTTTGCGGTTGAGGTGCTTCACAGCCACGAGGTTGCCCTGGGGAGACATGGGGTGGTGGGTGCTTGGTGGGGTGGTGGGTGCTTGGTGGGGTGGTGGGTACCCATCCCAACTTCCACATCTCCATACCTTGTAATACGCCGTCTTGGCGTAGACCTGGAATTGTCCCTCTGCCGTCATCAGGGAGCCGTAGTTGGAGCCCCTCTACGGGAAGGGACGTGGAATGAGCCCGGTCCCTGGTCCCTGTCCCCAGAGCAGGGTTGGGGACAGGATGGGTGCTCACCAGGGACAGGGTGAGCTTGCTGCCAGCGCTGCGGAGATGTTTCTCCAAGCTGCTCATCTGAAGGTCTTCCCAACGGATACGCCACAGCTCTGCTGCCAGCTCCTTCTCCAACTGCAGCTTCCTGCTCCAGGAGGACAGGGTGAGACCTTCTCATGTCCATGTGTCCCCCTCACCCCATCCCCACCACTCTGGGGACAACGGCACAACCTCGGGGTCACCCTCCCCAACCATGGCACCCTCACCTGTAGATGAAGAAGGAGGTGACAGTGATGGCCAGGAGGATCAAGCTGACCACGAGGGAGAGGACCTCCAGGGTGGACAGGTTGGCTGCAGAGTGAGAGGAGGGTGGTGAGGAGCTGGTGGGTGCTCAGGGTGGGGGGTCTCAGGTGTGTGTGGCCCACCATGACCCCGCCCACCTTTGCGGCACAGGGGGTTGCTGTTATCGAAGCCACAGGGAGGGACATCTGAGGGGACAACGTTCCCCGGCCAGTGGATCTCACGTCCTGGCACCATCTGGATCTTCTTGGTGGTACCATTGTAGTTGGCCACAATCTTGGAGTGGAAGGAGGCAAGAAATGGGTGGGATGAAGCCCCCGGCCACCCCATGGGACCAGTTGTCCCCACAGTGGGGCTCACCTGGAAGTCCCCACTCACGGGGTCCATGTCCCACAGGGAATAGTCACTTTCCCTGTCCCCGTTCTCATCGATCTTCAAGAAGCCGGTGACACCTGGGTGAAGGAGGTGATGGAGGAAGACCTTGGGGACCCCAAGCCCATGGGTGGGGGCTCCAACCTCAAAATACCTCAGGAGATGGGCAGGTGGGTGTCCGGGCAGGCAGCACCCACCGTGATGGGGATGAGGACAGGGATGGAGCTCACCATAGAAGGTTCGGTTCCACATCTGGCGGGTGATGGCGGAGGCGTTGGTGATGGACCCACCCTGCTCCAACGTCTCGTTGACGGCCTGGGCGTAGAGCAGGACCCCGTCGTGGAAGGCGGCCGCGATGAAGTTCATCTGGGGGCATGGAGACAGCTCGGGGGTGGGGCACAGGTGGAGATCACTGTCCCCTGGTGTCCCCAGCAACCCCATGTCATCCTGCAGCTCCTTGTCCTCAGCAGACTTGGTTCCATCCCATGTCCCCTTGTCCCCAGCTCCATCCTATGACCTTCAGCAGCTCCATCTCATGTCCCTCAGCAGCTCCAGCTCCATCCCATGTCCCTCAGCATCTCCATCCCATGTCCCCTTGTCCCCAGCTCCATCCTATGACCTTCAGCAGCTCCATCTCATGTCCCTCAGCAGCTCCAGCTCCATCCCATGTCCCTCAGCATCTCCATCCCATGTCCCCTTGTTCCCAGCTCCATCCCATGTCCCTCAGCAGCTCCATCCCATGTCCCCGTGTCCCCAGCTCCCTCCCATGCCCCCCAGCTTTCCCAGCTCCCTCCCACCATGTCCCACCAAGCCATCCTTCATGGAGAAGTTGAAGTGGGCGAGCGCCTCCTCCTTCAGCCGCGCCAGGAAGGGCCGGTACTCGGGGTTTTCAGGCTCCTTGTAGGTGATGATGGTGACAGCCTGGGATGGGGGACAGCAGTGGCAGTGGGGTTGGGGACCTCAACAATCTCCTCGGGGATGGAGGTCCCAGAATGGTGGTAGGTGCAACCAGAGCTGAGACTTGGGGACATTAATCTCATTTCCTTCCTCCTTGGTGGCCACCACCAGCGAGCAGGAGAAGCTCCACCAGCTCCATCACCCACCACGTCCCCGTGCTGACGTAGGCACACGTGGGTGAAGACCCCCTGGTCTCACCTCGAAGGCTCTCCGGGCGCTGGCGTCGTGGTTGTCCCCTCGTTTCCAGGGTCGTTGGGGTTCGGGGAAGCGGCTGCCCTGGAGGCTCACCCCAAAAATATCGATGTAGAAGAAGACGTAGTCACCGCGCGTCAGCCCCTCGCGTCCCGCCTGCAGCATCAGCTCCCGCAGCGTCTCCGGGGCACAGCAGACGTAGACGACTACGTGGGGTGAGATGGTTCATGGCACCACCGAGACCTCCCTTGGCTCTGGGGGAACCTCAACATTCCAGCCCAGCATCATGGTGGGTCCCTGGTTAACGTGTCGTGTGAGGTGGGACGTGTAATGGGACATGTGGTGGGACTTGTGGTGGGACTTGTGTGTGGTGGGACATGCAGTGGGATGTGAAGTGGGATATGTGGTGGGACATGGTGGGACATGTGGTGTGACATGGGTGGGATGTGCAGTGGGACGTGTGGTGGGATGTGGGTGTGGTGGGGTATGAAGTGGGAT